CTCTCCTTATCTGCTACAGCAACTATATATTTCCCCCGAGGCAATTTCGGCGTGCTTTACTTACCAGCGGCCTGTTTTTCCCTCCCCCTGACACAAAAAGGCAAAATCTATTTTTGTTAATTAGGAAAAAGAAAGAGCGCGTGTGAACTGGCGAGGGTGGGAAAAAAGGGGGATATATTGGAGGCTGTAGGCAGGAAACTATGGGAGCTGGGTAGGAGTAGCTCAAAAATCTGTGAATTCGTTTCTTCTGTCCCTCTCTTGTGATCTTCTCCGTCTGTAGCGCTGGAGTGAGCTCGTGATGTCTCCATTTTAGGACGGAGGAGTGTGCAAGTGTGCTTCTTCTTCTTAGTATTATTATCATTTCTTTTCTGTTTGCACCCCAGATATTTCCTTTTGCTGCAACTGTTGAGCTCCAAATCTGCCGTGGTTCATTTCGTCTTTGATTCCGGAGGGAGAAGGGGATCTGCCATTTCTGTGCTCGGTTCACCAATTTCTTGCTCAAACTACTCCTTCTCTTGAGATTTTACCGTTCCCCTTTTCAGTTTCTTGGAGGTAATTTCTTGTGCTGTAAAACTCTGGTTTGCCGCTAGAAAGATCTCGTGTTTGACCGGAGACGGGTTTATGGGTTTTCGCAGCTTCCTAATCCCTAGTCCTAACTTCGCTTGAGCGCTCGTGAGCTCTTAGTTAGCGGTGTGAAAATCGCGGCGTCGAGTGTTCTCGTGCAAGAATCGGTTGCTGCTGCTGCTAGCCATGGAGGTGAGGTCCGAGCAAGGGCTAATGGCGGGAAGGGATCTGTTCGGCTTGCCCAAGAGCCAGCCGGCGCCGGCGCCAGCAGCTCCGGCAGCGCCGCCGTCCTCGGCAGCCATGCAGAGCGTGCGCATGGCGTACACCGCGGACGGCACACCCGTGTTTGCCCCGGTGAGCTCTGCGGTCGCGCCGCCGGGTTACCAACCGGCAGGGTCTGCAGCACCAGCGCATGGCTCTAGCATGTCCGCTGCTCGGGCCGCCGGAGGAAATGGCGTCGCTGCGCCGCCGGGCATGGGTGAACCGTCGGCGAAGAAGAAGCGCGGGCGGCCAAGGAAGTACGGGCCCGACGCGGCCATGTCTCTGGCACTGGTGACTGTGCCGACGGCTGCAGGCTCGACAGGTGTGACACAGGGTGCTTCTGGGCGGCCGTTCTCACCCACGCTGCCGGGAAACTTCGTGCCGTCGGCGTCGCCGGATGGAGGGAAGAAACGCGGCCGGCCCAAGGGATCTACCAACAAGCCCCGCGTGGATGGTGCCGGTAACATCTCGATTCCCTATTAATATTCTGTGTTGAACACTATTTGCATTTTCAAGATTTTAGGTCCAAGAATAGTGATAACTGAAGCTCATCATTTTGTGTGTGTATGGATTTATGGTAGAATATGAGTACAGGTTTCTCTTTGAACTGGGTTAAGTGTGCTATTTGTCTCTGGTCAGAGGCTAAATGAGATATATTGCACACTCTACACTGTCAGAATTAAAGGGTGAACTGCTAGGGAGATTTAGCAATCTAGCACTCCCTTGTTGTTTTACTTTGATTGATTCGAAATTGAAAATATTGGTAAGGCAGGTTTACCTAAAGCATTTACAGTGATCTCTCTCAAAAAAAAAAGCATTTACAGTGATTCACGTATTGATGCATTTCTGAGATGTTTAATTTGATGCTGTTTTTCTCCTTGAATTATGGACCATACAATTTTTTTGTTTGAAGTGTCCTGTTTGCATATTTTTATTATATTAATGTGACACTGATGTTTGTTGACTTTGCATCTGTGAAGTTCTTCTTTGCATAGTTAGTCCTAAGTTTAAGCTATTTTGCAGGGCCGGCAGGAGTTGGATTCACACCTCATGTTCTTACAGTTCAAGCTGGGGAGGTATAGTAATATTTGAACATTTGAACTTCCATGCTATACTCAATGATGTTTGAAGGATGAACTACTTTTAATCGGTTAATCTTATCCCATGCATCAAGATAATATGCTGCTGATGGTTATGTGCAATTTTTCTAGTTTACCCTCCCAATTCTGACCCTACAAATCTCAATCAACCTTCATATCCGATATCCTAGAGCACAAAATCCAGTCTGCATTAAGCCAATGTTATTTTGGCCAGGATTTCATGTTGTGCTTTAGAAGATTTATAATTTGATCATAATTTTTATTTATTTTACTTATTGATGCTTTGCGGGTTTGTGCCTCCTTTTTGTTTTTTTTTATGCTTTGCTATACATATTTTACCCTGCTGCATAACTTGGATGCTACATCGCCTTCCTCTAGAAAGTGTTAAGCTGGCGAGTTCTGTAGGTATCAGCACAGCTTTCCTCTAACTAACAAAGAATATATTGAACTCTGTTTTTCAGGATGTATCGTCAAAGATTATGTCATTTTCTCAGAATGGAACTCGTGCAGTTTGTGTTCTCTCAGCAAATGGTTCCATATCAAATGTAACACTTCGTCAAACTGGTACATCAGGTGGAACTGTAACATATGAGGTTTGTACTTTTAACCAGTTTGAAGTAGTTCAATCTGAATTAGTTACCAGGTTGTGGGCTGTTTGCAATAAAGCACGTAAGATGTTGTCATGAGGCAACGAGCAGTGCAAATTCCTGCATGGTTGTGGGGTTCAGTGTCCATGTACAATATACAATATGTCACTCACCAATGCTGATTATTTTTTGTTTCCTCCACAGGGCCGATTTGAGATACTGTCACTCTCCGGGTCGATCTTTGTAACGGACAACGGAGGCCAGCGTACCCGAACAGGGGGCCTCAGCGTTTCGTTGGCTGGTCCTGACGGTCGTCTCTTGGGTGGAGGGGTCGCAGGACTTCTCATAGCAGCTTCTCCAATCCAGGTATTGTTTTCTACCCCGCAATTTTTCATGTGCTAACAAAAGGAAAGTGCCAATGACATGAGATGCTCTAACTCTGTGCATATTTTCTCCTCACTGGATTTCAGCAAACGAGAATCATATCATTTACCAGTATTACTCGTGTTGTATGCAGATAGTAGTGGGAAGCTTCAATGCTGGTGGGAAAAAAGAGCCGAAGCCACAGGCTCCTCCTGAGCCCGTACCACTGAAGGTCGTTCCAAGCACTGGGATGGCGGCCAACAGCCCCCCTTCAAGAGGCACATTGAGCGAATCGTCTGGTGGCACCGCAAGCCCAAGACATCAAGGCTACGCCTCCAACAACAATAACCAGCCGCCGATCTTGTCCAGCATGCCCTGGAAATAAACTCAGCATCCTTGACCGAATTCGGACATCGATAGACTGTTGGTGAACTGCCTCCCTGGCAGGAAGTAGAAATGTCACTTCTGTCTAACTAGCTCCCATTTAGTCGTATAAATCAGAAGTTTAATTAGGGAGCATTGTAGCTGGTATAAGTGGTAACTGCAGCTGCTGTGTAGGTCGTCTCAGCTTGAATTTCTGTGCCACTTAGTTGTTTATTGTTGTCTTGAGATGATGTATTTAGGTATGATCCTTGTGACCCTATGAGGCGCTATGGAATAATCATGTTCTTATGTTCAGTCAATTTATGTAATTTTCATGTATGTCCTGCAAAAATTGTTTTGCCGGCTCACTTACCTGATTTGTTCAATGCCCCAAAAGCGATACAAGAATTTGACCAAGACGCAAGACAAAACTTGTGCCAAAACATAAGGTTACAAGCATATATAAGATCAACACAGCAATTGGCATTCTGTGGAACAAACGTTCTTTACAGCAGTATGCTACGTATAACCATTGGCTTCGGCGGGAGGCCACTATATTGCAACTCCAAACATTCTTTACAGCAGTATTCTAACCATTGGCTTCGGCAGCCACTATATTGCAGTTCCAGTTAGTTAAAGCCAACAATGACAGGTCGCCCTTCGAGCAACTCTGGCAGAATCACTAAAATCTCATCTCCATATTCGCTGAAAGGGCGACGTGTCAAAATTTATGGAGCCTAAAACAGGTGACTGAAACTCAGATTCGCTATAATATTGGGCTGCATATTGTATCTACCGTTTGGGACCCACCTGTCATTGGGAGAGACATATTCACCTTCTCCAAAACTCCCGACGTCTCTCTCTGCTCAAGTTCACCCTGATTCCTCTCTCCCACTCCCCGATCTCGAGTGTGGTGGCCGCTCTCTGCTCCATCCCCTACCCGTCGACTCCTCCCTCCCGCTCGGGCTCTACTGCCGACGCAGTGAGGCGCAACTCCACGAGGCCAACAATGGTGGGGACGTCGAGCTCGCTAACCGCAGCAAAATGAAGGGGAGCGCGTAGGCAACGTCAAAGATAGGGCCACGAGGTTGAGCAGCAATGTGGGATGGGTAGCAGCAATGGAATTGCACGTGCAGCGTCAAGGCGGGCTCAAGCCGGAGGTGGAACTTCCCTCCCGCCAGAAATCCCAGCGTCAAGGCGGGCTCAAGCCGGAGGAGGAACTTCCCTCCCGCCAGAAATCCCATGGATGAACACCCTCCGAAATCTTCCCCTGCCTCCAAATACACAGGCTGGAGGGGAGAATATGGAGTGCCTTCCGAATTTTTTGTTGAATAGCGATCCATATGACGGTTATTATGGAGGGAAAGGGTATACAGCCATTCGGCTAGAGTTGGTCGGCCAACCAAGATAATTTTGAAAGATTATACTATTCCAACAAAAATAATCTTGATTGAATTTGATTCTCAGTCCTTGGACGTTACACTCTTCTACATAACCAAGTGTCCGGATTTCCTGGTAAATATGAGGCCTGCACTATATCATCAAACGTTCAAAGCCATGATCTCATGCATGGGAGTGATCAGAAACATCAGTGCGAGCTACCGAAGGAGGGGTAAGCTCTCCACTCGTGCTGACCTGACGTCATCGCAGTCACAACATGATCTTCCTAGCTGTGAACCAATAGAATAGGAATGAGATATATGTCAAAGAACAAAACACGAGGTGAGTCAGAAAAGCAAGAGCTGAGCCAACCTAAGGCACACTATTGTTGTTTTGTCAAGAAGATCCTGTTGACAACATCTAAAGGGAGGGCGTAGGCAGGATCGATAGGCTTCACTCCAGGATACTCCGTCAATGAAAGCCCTGTTTTTGCAAGAGGCTAACTAATTCAGCAAGGAGTTTATGACTTTGAATCATTCGAATAGCATACTGCAAGATCCCTGTGGTTAACTACTGTACTATGGGAGGAAGTAATATAAATACCTGCAACTCCAAAGTACGTGTGGTAGATATCGACCGCATTATCTGGTCTATCAGAAATTCCACCATTTTCCTTGTCCTGCCAATGTAAATAGTTATGACAATAAAAGGGCAACCTGGTGCATGTAGCTCCCGCTTGCGCAGGGTCCAGGGAAGGGTCCGACCACTTTGGGTCTATAGTACGCAGCCTTTCCCTACATTTCTGTAAGAGGCTGTTTCCAGGACTTGAACCCATGACCTCATGGTCACAAGGCAGCAGCTTTACCACTGCGCCAAGGCTCCCCTTCTAAATAGTTATGACAATATATACGGTAAATGGAGAAAATTGATCTTTTAGATGATGGGAGTAAGAAGTTGGACACATAATTATCAGAATTTCAGAGCAAGAATCACGAGCAGTTACCTGACAGTTCAATATGAACTTTGCAAGTTTTTCCTTGTCAATCCAGTGCACTCTATCAATAATTATCAAGCTTGATAACACCCACCATGAGTAGCACACCTATTGCGAGCAGTTCAATTAAATCTATGGTACAGTGAGAAATGCAAAAGGTGCACAATCTGAGAAAGCAGTCAATCTCACATCAGCAAGTTTCTCAGGACGCCCATTGAGCCCTCCATCTCTACACTGGCGCTCACAAAGCCACCATCCAAGGAGATCTCTATCAATGTGATGCAAAGAGCCGGTGATTGCGAGAGCACCAACACAACAGAATACTGCACGGAATGGATACATGTTTTCAGGTTATCTGGCCGCTATAAAGTGACAACTTGGAGAGAAATAAAAAGATCAAGGAAATAATCTTGTGACAATGCAAATTTCAGGTCATCATAGGAGTGCCACAATAATAATCATAGCAAATTGATTGGATAAATAGTAAATATCTTGCATTTTCCTGAAGGAAATGTTTTTTACGTTTGTACAACCAACAGCGTAGACAAGAACCAACAGCGTAGACAAGAATAATCAATTCTATCCCTCTTCTTCTTCCGGAATACAGATAGAAATACAAATAGACGATCTGACATGAATCTGATAAGGCATCATACTAGAACACTTGGAATTGATGGACTTTCAGTAGGATCTATTTTATTGACAAAATTACAGTTCTACTCAGGTACAATAGCAGTATGATTTGAGAGTAAAATCAAGATAATACATACTCTGCCCAGCATGAGACTCCCCTCCTGGCATAGCCCCAAATCCGCCGTCCAAGTTCTTACAGCTAACAATATATTCTACAGCCTTGTCCACATTAATTTTGTGCAGACGATGCAGTAATGACAAGGTACATATGGAAATATACGAGAACCTACAAGATATATATTACATTCATATTAGTAGCTCACACAGATGCTGCATTCAAAGAAAACACATGGGAACTCAAAAAGAACAGTTAAGTTTTTTACCTAGTATCAACTTCACCCCAAATATCACCAGAAAATGACCCATCCTCATTTTGAAGTCCAGTAATATCTGACAAAATTTAGATAGGAAAAAGAACAGTGTACCAGATTTCAAGCTCAGGGTGCGGCCGTTTCAATTCATTCAGAAAACTAAAGGCTTGCAGAAGCTTCCAGTGTTATTACTACTTCCCCATTTCATGATATACAGCATGCAATTTAAGTCGAGCGACAAGGTAATCAAATACCTAGAACTGGCTAATGTAGCAGATTAGTGTACCACAAATTTACTGTGTCACAGCCACACATAATCGATCATCTACCAAGTACTATCTCATATGGCATTGTATTCCGAGCAGTTTTAACATGATCCCTCTTACCTCCTCCTTTCATACGAGGGAAGAGTATAAAATACTAGATCTGAGCCGTTGATTTCATTAAGTAGTGGGTCTAAGTAACTCTTACCTTCTTACCTCCCATGTGAAAAGAAGAGGTAAGAGGGACCATGTTAAAATTGCTCTTGTATTCCGGATGCAGCAGCAGACTAAAATTTTGACATGCTGCACTTAGTCAGGAAATTAGCGGATCATGGTTCATATAGATGCTAAGCTGCAAATTAACATAACTTCATAAAGCCATCCACATTTCAAGATGAAATGTTTTTCTCCTTCACTGCTGAGAGAAAAAGTAATGTAAATGCAACACAATATTTCAGCTTTCTTACTGGTAATTCAGGGAAATCAAGCGGCTCCAAAACAAGATGAGAGATTTGACTACAACCATTAGGACGCCGCTAACCTAACATTCACAAAACTGCTACAGCAGGAGCAGCATGAAGCTCACTGAAGATCTTGAAAAGGATACAATCAGCAATTTTGTCTGCATCAAGAACATCGAGCCGATCGAAGAGGCAGAGGACCTGCACGGCGCTGAGCGTGTAGAGGACATGCGGGTCGTGCCCAACGTTCCCCCCGAACCCACCTGCACAGCCACATCCCAAGAAGACATACAACCGAATCATTCAAGAACCGAGGATCCGAATCGACAAAACCAAGGCTTCCCCCTGCAGTCAAAGTACCAGATTCCGGGTGGTAGCACGACATGATCCAGTCGACGACCTCGGCGGCGTCCACGGCGTGAAGCTTGTGGAGGAGGTCGAGCGTGGTGAGGCCCCAGTAGGCGCCGCTGGCCCGGAGGTGCTCCATCACCAGCGACTCGAACGAGTCCTTCTTCTGCGGCAAACGGCGAGGAGGACGGATGAGTTCTCGCCGGAGACGGTTCGCATCCGAGAGGGGGTATGGGTTGGGTGGGTGGTTGCTTACCTTCTCCGCGGTGACGATGTAGCGGACGTGCTTCTCCGCGGCCAGCTCCCCCTCTTCACCCATGGCTTCCTCCTCCTCGCTTTGCTTGGTTAGCGATGCTCCGTCGACGACTGCTGAGCTCTTCGCCGCGAGCGTGGTGGATTCAGGGGAATCAGGGGCCCGAGCGGATGGGTTACTGGGCTAGGCGGGCCTGTGGTATGGATTGTTCGGCGAGATGGGCCTCGTGGATCCATGACGCGTTTGGTAACCTGCACCAGCTAGGTGGAAACCACTAATTGCACAGGTTACTTCAACCTCCACAGGTTGTGTGCGTCACTTGTCGCAACATAATATTTTTTCTTTTTTTATATATCAGTTTTTTTGGAACAGTTTATTCAAAACATTTTATCTCTTAAACCGTGCGTTTCAATCTCAAACTGTTTTCACAGTTGGATTTCTCACGTCAAGATCTTCAAACTAGATCCCATGTTGATAGGTTTTGACAAAAAAAATCATGAAAAAACCGAAAGAAAAAACTGAACTAGAAGCATGTTTTTTTTTGAAGTAGGCACGACTTGCCTCTCGCGGAAGCAAATCCATGCCTCCACTAGAAACAAATATGTGCATCTCGTGAAAGAAAAACATGTTTTTTCGTTTTGGAAAGGCACGATCGTGCCTCTCGCGGTAGAAAAAGAAAAAAAATGCATTTTTTTACTATTTCTAAGAGGCACGTCCGTGCCACTCTCGGAAGCAAATGTGTCTCTCGTGAAAGTAAAAAACCCACGTATTTTTCGTTTTCGAGGGGCACGACCGTGCCTCTAGCAGAAGGAAATTTGTGCCTCTCACAGAAACAAAAAGGAAGAAAACGCGTTTTTCGCACAATTTTTTTTTTGAGAATATTTTTTTATTCAAAATCTAGGAAACACCGCTGGAAAACCAAAAGGCCGAAAACCCTCAAAAAACCATCTAAAAAGCCAAAAAAAGTGTGCAGAAAAATAAATAAAAAACAAAATTTGAAGGGTGCGCCCAGAGCACAACACATGGCGGTGGCTGAGAGCACGACACGTGGTGACGGCTGAGAGCGCTGTGGCGCGCTCTTAGCACCCCCAGGTGACTGTTAGAGGCTCTCGAAGGATCACTCGTTAATTAGACACTTCCTTGGTAGGTTGGGCTACATCAGATTCTTGCATAGCACGGTTCTTAAAGCACCTCCCAGCCAGGCCCGCTAGGAACGGTTGATTCGGCTGTTTCAGCAAGCCAGGCTCGAGCGATGCAGGAGGGGAGGGGAATGCGACGCTGACCTCCCGCGTCCACGGAGATTGCGCGAGCTCGCACGTCTCCGAACAAGCGATGGGAGGAATTGGCGTCAACAGCCGAATCGGGCGCCACATATAGCCAGCCTCACCTCTCCCCCAAATTCCTGCCACCATTCCCCCCTCACGAGCTTCCCGTCCTGCGTAGATCGCCAACAAAGACCAGGTAAGCGATGCTCCTGCTTCGGCGTTGGTTGATGGCAGCGGCGATTCGAGTCTTCTTCTCCGTCATGTCCCGCGCCCCCTTCGAGCTCCTCTGATGGCGTTTGTGAGTTCAGCCACCCCTCCTATGTACTCGTTCTAACTAGATCTGTGAGCATGTGGTAGGGTTTGATCTATGACCATCTTCTCGTATTGTACAACGTCGATATATATGAATGTTATGTTCTGATAGCTAGAGGTTATGGTTTGTAGCATGATAGAAGTTGTTTCCATACCAGCAAGGATTAATAGCTATTGGTGATGGATTGCTAGCATTCTTGATGTGCACTATGCTAGTTTGCAAGCATGTGTGGTACTTTATTGAACTGCTTGATATGATTTGAGCTGATGTGTTGAATAGATCATCTATCTGTACATGTGTAGTGTTCGTTCATACTATCCATATGTAGTGTTTGAAGGAAATATGCCCTAGAGGAAATAATAAAGTTGTTAATTTTATATTTCCTTATATCATAATAAATGTCTATTGTTCATGCTAGAATTGTATTAACCGGAAACTTGATAGATGTGTGAATACATAGACAAAACACCGTGTCCCTAGTATGCCTCTACTTGACTAGCTCGTTGATCAAAGATGGTTAAGTTTCCTAGCCATGGACATGTGTTGTCATTTGATGAACAAGACCCATCTGTTAGCTTAGCATAATGATCGTTCAATTTTATTGCTACTGCTTTCTTCATGTCAAATACATATTCCTCCGACTATGAGATTATGCAACTCCCGGACACCGGAGGAATGCCTTGTGTGCTATCAAACATCACAACGTAACTGGGTGATTATAAAGATGCTCTATAGGTATCTCCGAAGGTGTTTGTTGGGTTGGGGGTGATTATAAAGATGCTCTACATGCATCACCGAAGGTGTTTGTTCGGTTGGCATAGATCGAGATTAGGATTTGTCAATCCGAGTATCAGAGAGGTATCTCCGGGCCCTCTCGATAATGCACATCACATGAAGCCTTGCAAGCAATGTGACTAATGAGTTAGTTACGGGATGATGCACTACGAAACGAGTAAAGAGACTTGCCGGTAACGAGATTGAACTAGGTATGAAGATACCGACGATTGAATCTCGGGCAAGTAACATACCGATGACAAAGGGAATAATGTATGTTGACATTGCGGTTCGAACAATAAAGATCTACGTAGAATATGTGGGAACCAATATGAGCATCCAGGTTGCGCTATTGGTTATTGACTAGAGAGGTGTCTCGGTCATGTCTACATAGTTCTCGAACCTGTAGGGTCCGCACGCTTAACGTTCGATGATGATATGTATTATATGAGGTATGTGTTTTGGTGACCGGAGGTTGTTCGGAGTCCCGGATGAGATCATGGACATGACGAGGAGTCTCGAAATGGTTGAGAGGTAAAGATTGATATATTGGAAGGTTAAATTCGG